CCTACGGATTGGCTGGTCTAGCCTAGGTCTAGTAATTTTAGGTGGGGTCTGGATGTTTTTGAAAACTTTATCTATTAAAAATTGCTATGTAATACATAGACAAATTCGTAGAAATACCTTCAGTCGTTATTTTATTTAAATAATAAAGTAATATAACTAATTCCTATGCGAGGACAAATTTGAGAATTACACGAGGGGTCTCGTTATTGGATACAGGTTACAAACTAATGGCGAGTAGTTTGGCAGATAGGCTTAGTACTTGAGTTGACAGTGAAAATAAGTTAAAAGAAATTCAGGCAGGATTTAGAAGAAAGAGAGCGGCGAGGGATTACGTGTTTGTGCTGAATTCGCTAATAAATAATATGTATATTAAAGGTAAAGAGAAGCAAACTGTACGTCGAATTCGTAGATTTTAAAGCTGTGTTTGATAAAGTAGATTAAGGACATTTTACGGGACAAACTTTGGAAAAGCGGAGTATTCATGTGTTTTGTTAGGGAAATTTACAGGCATACGAGTGCTGATATTCAGCTGAATAGTAGAATTTGATACCAACAATGGAGTAAGACAGGGGTGTACTTTAAGTTCTAAATTGTTTAGTATAGTCATTGACGACATACATGACAAATAGGACGAAAAGAAGAGGAAGGGTTGGTAATAGACAAATTTAAAATAATATAATCTAAGTATGTATCAGCGTTGTAAAAGGGTACGAAAACAATATTTTTCAAATATCTCACAAATTATAAGATTATTTTAATTTTATTTATTGTAAAATTTGTGATATACACAACATGAAGGAGGTTCGCAAAATCTACATAGTATCAATAGTTTTCAAGATATAGGGCAGAAAAAACTCACTACTCAGCACACTACCTTTAGATAAGTTATTCCATAATTTTGTTGATGTACTTCATCTTCTTCCATTTTTCATTTTCAACAACTATCATTTCAACAGAATATAACGAAATAAATAAATTGCAAAAAATAGGGTTGTGAAGTTAATCTGGACCAGGAGGAATCAGCCAACCAACAACATTATAATAAATTATTGTAGTTGAAAGTTCAACTTAACCGCTGAGGACCTAAATCTTTTGCTAGCCAAGTTTGAACCTGGTAACCTGACAGGAAATTGTTTCAGAGAACTCGAATTACAATGCTATCCGGATCAGATTTTCCGTAATGCAGCCATCTGATCCGTTCCTGATCAGAGCACAGTACTATCCCTTGATCTGGTCACCTGATCAGGAACTGATCAGCATACAGTATCATTTCTCTTGATCCGACTATCTAATCAGTTTCTGTTCAAGGTACAGCACTCTATCCGTTGGTCCAGTTATCTGATCAGGAATTCATTAAAGTATAGTATCATTTCCCCTGATCCGTCTATCTGATTAGTTTCTGATCAAAGTACACCCCATCGCTTGATCCAGTCATATCTGATCAGTTCCTTATCAGCATCTAATACTAAGAATTTTATTACGGTTTCCGTACTTTGTGTAAAGCAAGATTGTATCCGATATCCTGAACTGGATCATAATACAGAATTTAGTTTTTTATCAAATTCATTCTGTACGTAATATTGCTTATCAAACAATAAATTTATTATTAACGTTATGACTATTTAATTATTTAAAGTCAAATTAATATGTAAAAACAAAATTGGAACAGCATGGATATCTGAAACGGATCCAGCATGGATCTTTGAAACAGATCCGGCTTGGATCTTTTCCTTCGCGGATCATATATGGCGTGACGATTTTTAATCATATCTAGATCAGGGAGTCTGATTTATTCCTGAACAATCTTCAGGCAATCGAAAATGATTGATTCTACGTAAATTTTGTGTGGGACAATTTTTTATGCAGATTTATCTCACAAACAAATTAAGAAGTACTTCAGAAAAATTATTCTTGGTGACCTTTGACCACCTGTAACTTTTGGGATGTAGAACAGTTGCACTCGGGATTGGTAATTAAGATAAGAATAAAATTTTATAGGACAATTGCTATTTTTCGTATGCCGAGTGGAACTGTCCTATGAAATTAGTATATGTACTTTGCCTGCCCGAGTGCATTACTTGTCCATCGCCGAACTTTTTTAGTCGTTTTTATGGGCCTTTGACAAATTATTTGTGATGCCAAAATAATAAAAAAACAATGGAAAATCTTGAGATGAATTTTTTAAAATAATTTCTGGCTACGATTAGCGCATCGTACTGTATACTTTTCATGGTTTTTCATAATATAGAACCCTTACTGGACGAATCCGTCTCGCACTCTATCAGTGTTTAAGACATTAGCTTATATTTATGAAGCCAGTCCTGTACATTTTATAAAATCGAATTCATAATTGGGCATGTGCAAACGTTTTCAATAAAAAATTTCCGTTGCTAGTTGTTTCAATGCCCCTTCAGAATGAAGATACGCAGAAGGAAACATAAAAAAAATGCTAATAAGGGCACAATAAGTTCAATTAAAAATTTTTATGAACTTTTAAAGATTAGCTGGTCACTACAGGTAAAAGTGTTCTTTGAGACGTCTACACTACATGGTGTTAGATATTTGACAGAGCCAGGAAGACCGTTTATTGAAAAGTAAGTTTAGATATTTCTGTGTTATTTTTTATGATATTTTCAGCTTTTCAATTCAATTGTTGGTGTTTTATGACTTATATTTGATTAAATCCATTTTAATGTAAAATTAAAATTTTGGCTAAAGCATAAATTGTTGAGACAATTATTGTCTCTTTCATTTTTAAATTAAATTAAACATGCTGTTTCACAAAAATTACATCTTAAGATGTTTAGGCAAATTTATAAAAGATGTGGGTTATTAATGATACCTTCGATATGCTAAATGTTGTCATTTAAACCACAATGACAATATTTAGTCATAGAGTCATAGATAGGATGTGGTATTATCATTACGATGTTACGATGTAGATATGGTTAAAATATAAGTACTATGTACCACCCATGTAGGAACTGACAGAGTTAAGAATCGGGTGGACTTTGGCCCGAAATTGCGTTGCCCAACTTAGACTAAACGGAGTTCATCCAAGGTTGGACCAAGTTAGTCATACAATTTATGTACCAAGAATCGCTAGTTTTCTCTGTCTAAGACCTGGACACAAAGTTGGCTACATTACATACCTTCGGCTGATTAATATTTGGGTCAATTACATTAACCGGGGACTTTTTTTTCTATACTTAAATTAAAATAAAATGATATCTAGAATGATTAAATCAATATTTTATTGACGTGGCGTCTTATAATTCGATAGAGCCGGCTGCACGCACGAAAAAACATGTCTCATGCGGCGTTACCTCGCTCTGAGGAGTTCCATTTAAGGCTTGAAGTGCAAGCGAGAGCGCGGAACGAGCGACAAAGAGGCACAATCGGCCTCCGCGTTCGGCAGCGTTCGACATCTGTCTCTCTCCTACTTGAGTGAGCGATGCGTCCGCGTGGACAGCTGCTATACAATAATACATTTCCATTTACCTCCNTCGGTAACTACAATCATCAGCAATTTTCTCTCTGGAGCTCCAGAGTGTGACGGCGGACGAACTAAGCGGTCAAATAAAGATGAATTATTATAAACATTTTTGGAATTAGTTGTAGTTATTCGTCTTTTTATAATTCATAATAAAAAATTATTCTCTTCATTCCAGCCTTAAATAAGTCTTGGTTATTTAAAATAATGGTTGATTTACAAATTTTACTCCCTGGGCCACTATTGATTTTAATTTTAGCAGAAGGTTGGTTGTCACAAGACCAACTCTGGCACATCTTCGGGATTCATCGTTGGTCCAAGGTTCTATGCCAAGCCAGGCCTTATATTATCATTCGGCAGTTCAATCATATTTGGTCTGCAGTTGTAATTCAACTTTGTCCCAAAGCTCATAATTGGCAAGCCAACTTTGGCTTACACCTAACTCAATCGTGCTTTCCTACATGGGCATTGACGGGTTAAACCTACATTAGTCTCGAAATAATCTTACTAAATAAAATTTCATTAAAATAAATCCATTGTATCAACTTGTAGATTTATGTGGTTTTGTTGCATATGCATATGTTTTGTTGCAACCGTCGTAATAATTTTGAGCCTTTGGGAAAAATTTCAAACAAATCCAACTATCACTGGGTTGGACACGGATTTTCATAGCTTCGACATACCATTTCCTACAGTGACAATATGCTTGGAACCCTTAATTTGGCAAGAAATATTACCCGAGAATCTAAGGTAAGCATCTATTAAATGTTCGTTCATATTTAAGAGGTAATAAACAAAGCTATTTATAGACTTGTGAACTCAACATTGCAATATTTAAAAGCTTTTTCTTACAAGTCACTGAAGGAACTTAACAAAAACGAATTAAAGGAAATGCGAACAGATCGTTTACCACTAGAAATTAAGACTCTGGTGGTACGTATATGTAGTATAATATGAATACACACAAAAAAGAAACCACTAAAAGTATTTCATAGTTTTTTCAACCGACGTCAAATTATTCATTAGAGAAATAATCTATTGAAGACATTTTGTGGATCATAAGATTGGCCGCAAAATTTTAACATCGAATTGTAAGTGTAAAGAATAAAAAGAGAAATATTTCTGTAATTATATATTAACATCATCATCATCATATGGTTATCAGTCGTAATAAGACTGGACTGGACACGCACCTCCACTTTTTCCTATCCTGAACTAATCTTCGCATTTCCCTAAAACTAGAATAACTCACATGTCTAACTGTTTGTGAATTGTAATCAAATCTATGTTTACCTCTACTCCTTTTAACTCCTTTTTCTTCTTTTAATATGTCTCTAATTAGCCCTTGAAGCCTGAGTAGGTGTCATACCAACATATATCTTATTATCTTATTGACTTCCATAGCGCCTTCTGTTCTCCTACTGTTCTACCTTCTCTATTCATCGTATCCCTATCATTTTGCTGCGGTAGAACATTTGTAACTCTTCTATTCTTTTCTATTCACAGTATCCTCATAATTCGCCGGCAGTAGCATATTTCGAAAGGTTCTAACCTTTTGTTTTCCGTCGCGCCATCGGTCACGTTTCGCACTCGTACAGCGCCCTGATATAATTTAACCGTTCGCGAACATAGAAGTGACTTTTTTGTTAACGGCATCCTGAATTACGTATTTGACTATCTAAGTAGCGAAAATTAGCGACTTCTTCTAATTTTTCGTCTTCTAACTTTATATTCACCCTTTCCCTACCTACTTTTTTTCTGTTACATACCAATACTTTCAATTTATTATTTCTTTAATGAACAATTTCGTTAATTGATTATTTCGAATAATTTAAATAGCAGATTATTCCTATTAATCGAAATATTAGATCATTTTCTTACAATCGATAATCGATCGTTAAATTTAATGACGCTCAGCACTACTTATTTATATATTAAGAATATACATATACATGTGAATTATGACAATTTTTCTCAATTTAAATTTGAATAACGTTCAGACACTTTAAAATTTTTGAACTCAATATATACGTACTTTTAATCCATTTAATTCAAAGTTAAATAAATTTCAAAACTTTTTAGCAGATTCCCAACTGCGAACTGATATTCGTACCTGATTCGTGTGAATTTTTATCCAGAAAGCAGGATTGTTGCGCGAACTTTGTTCCTATGTTGACGGAAGTAGGTCTCTGCTTTGGATTTAATTTAAAAAATGATCGACATCCAAAGTAAGTTGAATTTCACATTTTTGTTTTGTTAACACAACACATAGCCGTATTTTAGGCCGTACATGATTAAGGACACCGATGCGTCATGGGGACTTAAATTCAGTATAACGAAGCCTTTGTCTAACGCAAATATTCCCGTAAGTTATACAAAAAAAAAAATACAACAGGCTTCTGAAGTGAAACTTCTTCAAACACATAAACATACTGGGATAGGGGTTAAGCAATTGGTTTAATAGTATCATTTGTATACTATGCTTCGCACGGGTACAATTCTTATAGTAAATATACTATAGAATGTCTTTATATATAACAATCACAGCTTTTTTGTCATTAGACAATACAAACCGGCCGGTACCGCCGCAACCGCTATGTCCCTGCATTTTAGGTCTGTAATATCTTCGCAAATATTCATTTAAATTACATGCTTTAAAGGGCCATATTGATCTATGCACAATGTATTTAAAAGTACTTAATTTGATAAGAATTAATGCTGTATTGCTTAAAATCGCTTCGTAAATAAGCCATTATTTCTCGTAAAAAGTAAAGGATAAAAATGGTTATTGTGGGTTATCCCTAAGAGATAGACATACCATCGCGGACCTTTTTTGTAGACCTTTTTAAGGTGTACAATACTGTAGTATATTATTTTGATCTATCTCGTAGTGTTCAGCCAGCGTTTGCAGTGTAAGTGCAAAAAAAATGTGTTTATTTACGACATCACATTGCAAACCTCTAAAATTATCAGTGTTTCTCTACTATTTTATGTATGTATTATACATATAAACCTTCCTCTTGAATTACTCTATCCATTAGAAAAAAACCGCATTAAAATCCGTTGCGTAGTTTTAGAGATTTAAGCATACATAGGGATAGACAGCCGGGGAAATGTGTTGCATGATTTCGTTACATAGAAACTCGCATGAAACGAACTTACCCTAGCGTGCGTAAAGAAGTTTCGTTTCAAAAATTTGTAACAAATTTTCTAATATAACTTTATTTAAATAGGTCTTATATCTAACCAATTAATTTTATACACCATAGTATATACGTATGTAGTGTTTGTTGTAGTTAAAGACCCAATATGTAGGCGACCTACGGATTGGCTGGTCTAGCCTAGGTCTAGTAATTTTAGGTGGGGTCTGGATGTTTTTGAAAACTTTATCTATTAAAAATTGCTATGTAATACGAGGGTGGATTGATAAGTTTCCGGCCTAACCAAGAGATGACGCCACTAGGCCTACCTTGAGGTGACATTCTATAGTACCATCCTTGGATAGCTTGTAGCTATAGTTTCAGCCCGATCTCCTTGCTAGTGTAGGTTTGACAGCACGCTGAACAAGACGCCTCTGTGGTTTTCGTAAAAATGGAAAAGCAGGAAAATCGT